ATTGATCTGTTCGTAATGCGTCGGCTAAATGAGTACGAATTGAAGCGCCTGCACGGGTGACTGAGCTCGCTGAACCAGTCGGTTTATCACTTAACACTTGGAAGGCTAAAGTATTTTTCTATTATATCCCTGCCCAAAAAAAGGCACCTTTCGATATCATTGCCTGTTAACTTGAAGAAGCAAACAGCTTCAAATATTTCGGGTGAGGTTTCTGCCGAATGGACGGAGGGAGGATGACATTGTCTCCCGAATCGGTGCAGCTTGTCGATTTTTCTCAAGCCTTAGAAACTGCCTATGGACCCCACGCGATATGGCGCTATTTATATTGCCACGAAGTTTTGCGTGTACCGTGTATCCGTTCATTCTTTCCTTCCCTTTGGCTGTAAATGCTTGGCTATGCGCATAGAAGATGAAGGAAAACTGGAGATATTTGACTACTACTGCTTGAGGACCGTCCTTCGGGTGGAGTACACCGACTTCTTCTTAAATGACACAGTCTCCACTGCGGCCACATCGAAAGGATATCACAGGCGACCCATGGAAGACGACTGAGGTGGTTTGCATAGGTTCTTCGTCACTCATTTCATGAGCTTATTGGTACAGCCCTCAATCCGGCTCAATTACCCAATTACAGGCATAAAAATGGGGCCAACTCAAAACCTAACTCGACACAGTTCGTGCGGAGATAGAAGTGGCTCTTAGACCTTCGGTATTTGGTCCCCGGTTGTTGGCGCAGAGAATGGGCTGAACTGTCCATATCTGCTGTCGCGGATCATCACGCATGGAGAGATACAATTTGTGACATCGTTGCGTCCGGCCTTGATCAGGCAAGATCGTAGCCGCGTCAAGCACAAGTGCAGGATTGTCACGCGCTCCAAAACGATACTTTCGTTGGTGAGGATGTGTAAGCGCCAAACAGTGACAGTCTCATTTATCCTAATCTGTACTTGTCAACCGGTTTACCAAGTTTGATCAACTGGATGTGTGAGCCGTTGGCTAACGGTCACCTCATCTCGTTGTTACTGCCCTCAATCCGGCACAATTACCCAATTAGAGCTGTCAAAAGT